CATTATGCTACTGAAAACTAAATGTCTGAGTTGCCTTTTATTACACGTGTATACTACATGTACTTACATGGCTATTGATATATGCACCTACACTGTTGAGTAGTAGCCTAAGTCATTGTCCTTACTTGTTAAAGTACCTAATATTATCTGTATACCTGTGAAGTGTGGCTTATTCTCAGATGTTCCTTCACATACCCTGGTTCAAGTGAATACTAACTCACTCTGCATTTATTACCCTGGTAAGCATCAAGTCAAGCTAAATTGTGAACCCCAAGTCACTGATCAGCATTTAGTACTGTAAACCAACTTTTATTCGTGTGCAAGAAATATCTGTGAGTTTCGCGACCTGCTTTAACTCGCGAATATTTATAAGCACTGCGAACCATTTTTTTGCTTTGTATTAGAGAATGTGTCTTCAGTTGCAAAAATTAATCATCGCAGATTGATTTCAAACTGATGAATCGCGAATAAAAGATGCCGCAAATAATAGTTGGTTTACAGTACTCTGGTAAGCAGAAGTCAATGTGAACCCTGAATCACTCAGCATTTAGTACTCTGGTAAGCATAAGTCAATGTGAATCCCAAGTCACTAAGCATTTAGTACTCTGGTAAGCATCAAGTCAACGTAAACTCTGTAGTATTATGACACTACATTCTGACTGTCTTGAGTGTTTAGCTACCCTAGCCTGACAGTATCTTAGACTTCATGAAAGAAAATATTTATTATGTACATGTAAGATAAATGTACATTGAAATACAAAATATATTAAAAGTACATTGATTCCCCGCCCCTTTCATGTAATGAATCACCTAGTGAAAGCAGAAATTGAGGAGGAGATCCATATATATATATATATATATATATTAAAACCATAGTGGACATTGCACATTATTTCCTTCACTATGGCTTATTTTAGCTTATTGTATATATGTAATGAGATTAATCTATAGTGATTTGTATGAATTTTTTTACTGGTTTGTGCTGAGATGACATGTTAACATGTAATCATCTGTTATACCATGTATACTGTTCATGTAGGCAGAGCTATACCATCATGGCTCTTTACCACTGGAAATATGACTATCTGATTTACTTGTCAAGCAGATATCCATCTGTTACTTTATATTTAATTTCCTTTTTTAACCTTTTCAGGTTGCCATAAAAATCATAGATAAGACCCATTTAGATGAAAACAACTTAAAGAAGATATACAGGGAAGTGAATATAATGAAACTGCTGAACCATCCTAACATTGTCAAACTCTACCAGGTATGTAGCCAATCAAGTATCATAACTCAGAAAATTTATCCAATCAAAAATAATTTATAAAAAGTTCACCCAATCAAACACCATCATGTAGGTTGCATACAGGATGTTAATTAGCAAGGGAAATGTGACTTGTTTGGAATTAAAGTTGACAGAATGCATGTACCAGGTAGATGTTAATGAATTCCTTAATGATGCTTGTCAGTGGCATTATGTTCACTGCATATCACGGACGTGTTATAACCAATGACAAGCAATCTAGTTGTAATTTCTTGAGTAGAATAGAAAAAGTGATATTAAAACACAACCATATAGTTAAATCTCATACAAAATGATTATTGTAATATTGCATGTAGAATTGGAAATATCCAGTGGAAAAAGAAGACATATTTCCTATATCCAATGCCCCTTTTCATGATCAGTTTATACATACAAAGAAATCTTGTCCTTTCTGATATATTTTGAAATTGAGTATATAAGCACACCCTGGTGAGTATGTTGTGTAGTATCAGATATAACATGAAGCTAATTAAAGCACTTCCAATATCATGGAATTGATTTTTCCAGTTTTCTTGGGATTTTTTTTTAAGTAAGGTTTAGGCTAACTGTTTTACTAAATGGTGTGGGAGGGTCTTTCTTAATCAAGGAAATACCGAATTTCTGACAGTTAGCTTTGTATAGATTACACAGCAGGGTTGCAATTTGCCTATGACGTTTATTTATGCTCACTTCAAAGGTGTGCAAGGGGCTATACAAACAGATCTATCTATCTGGTACCAATAAAATTTATTGCAAGTCAATTTTAGTACACTCTCAAGACACGATTTTAAACATTCAAGTCTGTGAACTTTGTCTAATATGTAGGCTGTTAACATTTATTACACTTGAATTCTGAAAATTATTTGTGGTTTAGTGATGTGAACATATAACTAGAAAGAATGAAAACTTTGCCAGGCAATGTCCAAGACTGCTCAAACATGAATCTGAAACAAAAGAAAATGAAAGAATAGATATATGTCACCTGACACTTGACGTAATTTGCATGTATTAATTTAAATGAAGTTATGATAATTAACTTAATGGCTGTTTTTTGCACTAGGTTTTCTTATTGAGATGATTACATACAAGTCTCTGGGACAGTCCGTAGACACTGTAGATGTACCGTGTGGTGACTAAATGAACCGCTGTGCGTCATATGTGATGTGTATGACCTTTAAAAAAAGTTCTCTTCAGACATTGAATGTATTAGATTTCATTCAATATTTGAACATAATTCTTCTAAAGGCCAATTGCCTGACTAAAGGAGTTTATATGAATATATTATAACTTTTTATAGACATATCTGTTTGTTAGATATTGATTTAAAAAATGTAAATATTAGTTACATTATGTTTATTTTTGGTTGGGGTCAATTTTTTGGGGCATGTTGAAGTTTTTCTTAGCAACCCAAGACTTAGATGCCCTCAGTTTAGCCTCCAAGTAAGTGGAGTGTAAATTGAGAAATTGTAAGAATATCTTAACTAGTCCAGAGTGTTTTATTGTAACGTAATGACATTTATTAACATGTTCTCATCAGACAAGATTTCTTCAATAATTAGTCACTGGCTCTAAATTATATCTCATCTCCATAGTAAGCTGAAGGGAAAGTTTGTTCAAGTTAAATGATCTTTTCACAGAAATCAGGATGTATGTGTTAAGTAAATAAATAAATGAATTAGAGTATATAGTTTGGATAAATGTATAAACATGATAACAGAAAGCATTCACTCTTTATTTGGTATTCCTGTCTTAACGTTTTACCTGTCCATGTACAAATGGTATTATACCTGACTAATTGACGTGACATGTTTGGTTCGATGAGTTTTTCCAGATCAGCAACCTGTTCCACATGACCGAGCCCTAATTTCTCTTTGTTGGAATGATGAACGAGATCTTGTTTTCATGTCTTTCATTGACTAGACAGAATTTTAAAAATATATGTCTTCCTATTTTGTCATTAATATGATAATTAGGAAAAACATCATTCAGAGTTTGGAAAAACTCTAAATGTGTCAATGAATTATGGTTATATTGCATTGTGCTTTATGCAATCATATTTTCAGTAAAAGATGAACTTAGAAGCAATTGAAGAAATTCTGTATTAATTAATATAGTAATACTGACACAATAGAATTTTAAAATTTTACTCTTCTTACAGTTTGAGAACTAAGAATATGTTTATTTAATGTACAATAAATAAATAATAATAAATAAATAAAACTATTGTAGAAATTTGTAAATAGGATAAATTTCTCATAAGTCTTCAACAAGAATGCCCACTCTGTGAACTTGATAACCATTATGATAATAATATTCTGTGAATGAAGCTGAAAGTAAGAGGGTGAATCAATATACAACATATCTGTGCATCAGATTATGACAATGCATGTATTATCCAAACAGAAAATAGTCAAACAAATGAAAACTTGCACCTATACCCCTCAAAAAGAGAAGTTACAATTGATATTTTATACCCCTATAAAGGAGTATTGTATAATTGGTATTTTGTACTCCTTTAAAGGAGTATTGTTTTATTGGTATTTTATATCCCTTCAAATAATATTATTAGTATTTTGTATCATCTAAAGGATTTTATAAAGGAGTAGTATATTATTGGTATTTTGTATCATCTAAAGGATTTTATAAAGGAATAGTATGTTATTGGTATTTTGTATCATCTAAAAGATTTTATAAAGGAGTAGTATATTATTGGTATTTTGTATCATCTAAAGGATTTTATAAAGGAGTAGTATATTATTGGTATTTTGTATCATCTAAATGATTTTATAAAGGAGTTAGTATATTATTGGTATTTTGTAGGTGATGGAGACCAAAAACATGTTGTACCTTGTATCAGAGTATGCTCCAAATGGGGAAATATTTGGTATGCTTTATTTCTGTGTAAATTATGATTTTGAGTAGCTACTCAATCAATAAGGAAACACAACTTGTTTTACTTAATCTAGATTTGTATTTTTCACAAAGGAAGTTGTGTATTCAATTGAAGGAAAAATACAACAATTATTTTGTGGTTACAATTCCTTTGATTTATGATTTGCTGAAATTCAAACAAACTTGCTTGAGATTGGAGGTTGTTAACCTGAGAATGTTTGTTTGTATTATGTATATATTTTGTTGTCAGATTACATTCGTACACATGGTCGAATGACAGAGCCAGAAGCCAGGAAGAAGTTTTGGCAGATCTTGTTAGCGGTGGAATACTGTCACAACCGCCATGTTGTTCATCGAGACCTGAAGGTAACACACACAGAAATGACTTCCTAAGCACCATCAGCTTCCTTGTTTAATTAATTGTGAAGACTTTGTGAATCCCAAATAGTTTGCAATACTTTGTCAAGAATTTTTGTGTGTGGATGATGGATGAGGGTTGATAAAAAATAGAGTATGGTACAATGAATTTTATGTTTCTCTCTGTGAAGTGAGAGAGAGCTTCTCTCTGGTTTTGCTTATGATGTAATTGTTAACCCACACAACAGGTAGTTGAGAGATTTTTGTTAGAACTACATTGTTGTACATGCAAATGAATTGCATATTTGAAAAGACACAGTTCCGAGGAAAAACTTTGCCAAAAATTGCATATGTAAAATATGACATTAATTATACAGTGTTTTTAAATTAAATCCAACCACTGTATTTTGCTTACGACACCCTGTTTTGCAAAAATTCAGTAATATCCATTTAGTAAATCAATGTGCACAGACTTCGATTTGTTTCCTTTTTCCAAAGTCTTTGCAGGCTTCAACAGTTTAATCCTGCATTTAACCAAATACCATATAATAAAAACAGGAGGAAAATTGATTACACTGTTTATAAAAGGTACACATTTGTTTAATTGCCACAAACCCTTCTCTGACGTAAAAGTTAACCTTCTTAGGATCATAAACATACACTTGAGGGAGGCCGGGCAAGGGGTGATTACGGAATGCTGTAGAACAAGCTTAGTTGTGATTAAATGGAGATAAGACAGGGGGTCATTGTTCTCTTACTTAGAACAGTTCTTCTTTATCTGGCATGCTTCTAACCTGTCAAATTCACAACTTCAGCTATGTAGAGAATGGATTTTTAAATTTGAGTTCAGGACTATGTACATAGAAGAGCTTCCTGATATTGGAGTAACCATTGATTTTTCAGACCTTTAAATGTATACCAGTACTGATTTCCCAGTGCAAGCAGGGGGTTTTCTTTTTTATCAAATGACTTCCAATATGTCCTTAAGATTGGTAAATGTTAAGCACGTAGTTTGTTCTGATCAGCTTTCTAGAAATGGGTCAAATTCTCGACCTCCAGCAGACTGTTTAATGCGTTCTATGTATTAACTCTGTGACGTCATAGGAACTAGTCCCTGATTTATATGCAATACAGAGGACTTCCTCGCATAATGCGATTTCAAAAGCCACAAAACTCTGTCAGACTCACTTCATAATCAGCCAATATATATACTGTGGATAAGAGATAATTAATTATCTCTTGTTTGATGTTCTCAATTGGAAATGCCTAATTGTGTCTTTGAACTGTGAAAGGTGGCCAAAAGTGGAAGTACTGAACCAGACTATTGATGCATGCTACGGTTTTTTGTGCTGAGGAATGAAATCAAAATCGGCACATTTAATCTCCTGTCCAATCTTTCCTCTTTCCAGAAAGAAAAAATTTGAGAAGAATCAAAAGATAAAATAAATTAATCTCTCCAGACAACAAACTCAGTTAATGTCAGCATAAAATTAGAAAAAAAAGTATTTTGTTTGTTGATGTTTTATTATTAGATGGTGAAAGTTAACTGCTGTTGGTTCTGAATGGATCCAAGAGCTGATTCATAGGTTTTGATTTATATGATCGATTACAATTTCTATGAATAATATTTTTACGTCATATCTGATTGCACTCAAACACGTGTTAATATTAAAGGAGATCAAGATTTCTTTCTTATTACTGTACATTGTAACAAGGGTCCTTTAAGTGCACAGAATCCATTAGGATTTCTGTAAGAAGCATTTCAAGGCACAATTTAAGACATTTGAAGCCATTTTACCAGTGCTGCATTGATATGTATATCTTACGGCGTTACGGGCATTCATTAATTGAATTTACACTAATAAATTTAACTTATAAATTATTGATTCTGAATGTACTGAAAACTGTTTAGGATAATGTTATTGTCAAAAATGAGTTTTTCCTTGTAATATATGTATTATGATAAAAATTTGTTGTAAAAAAAAGAAAGATATTTTATAAATACATGGATAATCTTTTGATAAATTTTATGAAAATATTTATTCAAATTAAATTATGCTCAAATAATTTTTGTGTCCCCGGTAGGCAGAGAATCTTCTCATGGATGCCAACATGAATATTAAGATTGCTGACTTTGGGTTTGGAAATTTCTTTACAACAAATGAACACCTGGCAACATTCTGTGGCAGTCCCCCCTACGCAGCGCCGGAAGTGTTCGAGGGAAAGAAATACCTAGGACCTCAGATAGACATCTGGGTAATGGTCACCACTCATTGTGTCATTTTGTTGTTTCAAGTTATGAAGCCATTTTGAATGCAAATTCTCAAATATTTTAATAAAATTCCTGCATAAATTTATTTTTGCAAGACATTTGGATGTGAAGTAAAGTCTGTGTTATGTTGCAGAAACATTTGCAAAATTTATGAATGACGTATTTATGATCAAGCAAAGTGTGTGTGTTATGTAAATCTATCTTTGTGGTATATACAGTAAAATGTAACATTAAGTTTGCCTGTTTCAGAGTTTAGGAGTGGTGCTGTATGTCCTTGTTTGTGGGGCCTTGCCTTTTGATGGGTCCAATCTACAGATGTTGAGAGACAGAGTCCTACAGGGCAGATTTAGAATCCCATTCTTCATGACAGAAGGTATCCATGCATAATCTGCCCATCTCCTGTCAATAAAACTTTAGCAGAGAAAGATGAGCATTTAAATAGATCCTGTATTTTAGGTCGTTCATAATGATTTTTCTAAATTATTCTGTGGTATCTACATCTGCGCTGCGTCAAAAGTAAAAACAATTTTTATTTCCTGTAATGTCTTTAAGAAGCAGTCTAAGTGGTTCTAATGACAAAGCATCATCAGGTTACAGCTGGAGAAGATTTAAGCTAAAATGATGAATATCAGTCGAAGCTTACTATCTGACGTATGTCCTTGTGTAAGCAGATAGATACCAGTAATTAGCAATCTACTGCAGTTACATTTTTACCTGAGCTTAGCCGTGGTTTAATGTAATATCTCCCAGAGCTAGTAAAGTTGATTATCGATCAATATTACGTCATATATCATTAAAAAGACGACTCAATTTTAAGTTATTCAGGAAGTTTTAACAAAATGTTACACAAAGATTATTTAAGTATAGGAATTGCATAACACAAAAATTTATTGTGGATTTTTTAAAATTTTAGTACCAGTTTACATTCTCCTAAAACTTTACTGAAAGTAAACCAATGATTAACCCATACTTCATAAGTGCATGTACATAAAAGATTCTATCAGATTAATAAAACTTGTCTGATAAGAGATGTATAAACAGTTTAAAATAAGTGAAATTTTTATCTGGATATTCTTGAGATAAAAATAGAATCATTAACACGCGTACTGTATGTATAAATTTTCACAGCTTGTGAGAAGTTGATAAGGAAGATGTTAGTACTAGACCCATCCAAAAGATATACTATCAACATGATCAAGAAACACCCATGGATGCAGGAGGATGGGGGAGCTCCAAAACAGGCCCCACCCAGCCCTGTGATTGGTCAGAATGCAAAGATGGGAGAATATAATGAACAGATACTTCGACTCATGCAGGGAATGAAGATTGATAGGAATAAAACAATTGAGGTACTCTTAGCTCATTAATTTCAGTTAAAGTTTATGAGTGAACATTGCTGTCATTGGTCAGTTCAATAACATGAAATTTGACTGTGAATTCTGTCTTATGCTAATTGGAAGCATAATTATATGAAGATCAGATAATACCATGTAAACTGCAGTGAAATAACTGACTTTATTTAACAATCATACTTGCCAGTTTATTAATTTAGTATTAAGTGTGTAAATAAAGATTAAGGTAAAGTTATATATTTTCAATTTTTCAGGCACTACAAAAGGACGCCTATGATCATTACACAGCCATATACTACCTTTTAGTAGAACGATTAAGGCAACACCGCAGCAGTTTTCCTCCCGAGACTCGAATCGATATACGTAAAAGACGGCCTAGCACGATAGCGGATCAGGCCATGATGCACATGAACTCTAGTCAAGCAACCCCAGCTCAGGGGCAGCAACGCACAGCATTAGTCAACGTGAAACAAGGCAATTCAATGTTCAGCCACACAACGGACTGTGTGACAAGTACCAGTGCTAACACTAGTAACTTATACCAATTATTTAACGACAGTGACGTTCAGACGCCCTGTGGTGTGACAGGGTGTCTACCTGACATTATGCCTAGCCCTGTCAAACCCCCCATCCCCTCTAATAATCTTCACATGATTACCACCTCCATAGATGAGGGGGTGGAGGCAGATATGACAGACTCCGAGAGTGAGAGTGGAAGTAATGGTAAAAATAATGTTCAATTCGTCAGGGATGGGTACGGCATAGGATTAATTCCCAGTTGTGCTTTTGGTGACTTTTCTCAGTTGAATAAAAATACAAATAATAGTAGTTCTTCTATAAACACTGCCTCCCCGTTTACCAGTTTTGACTCCAGTTTGGAGCCTGACTTTTCCTCTACTGTTTTAACATCATCACAAATGAACTTTACTGGTGTTGACAGTCCATCTTGTTCATCCATATCCAATACATTTACATCATCAGCAGGTGCTAATTATTCCATGGGACAAGCAAACCCAGAGTCGGAAAATGAAGAAGATCCAGTGAGAGATCGCAGTCAGACAAGATCACCGGTGAATTTCAGGGAGGGACGCAGAGCTTCGGATGGGTTGGTCACCCATGGGATCATCGCTTTCCGTCAGAGATTAAAAGAAAACATGCGTGCCCCAGGAATGACAGAGTTACGCAAAGAGCATGACACATTACAACAAATGTTCTCACCCAATATGACTCCAGAACAAATTCAAGTTTTTCAACAGCAGCATACAGCGTACATGGAATCAAGTGGGCATCAGTGGCCAACTGAAGAGCAAAATCAGAAACCTAGACCTCGACCATTTCTAAAGCGAATGAGTTTACCATCAGAAAACTTTGATATCCAACCACATAAACTATTAGCTTTGAAGCAAAGCATGCAGGTAGAGAGGGCCATGGATCGGGTTTCTAGTCATGAGGAAGTTGCCAATGATCCAAATTCATTTGAATATATGAATAAACCACTTCAACAGGCACTTCTTCAAAGAAATCTTCAACAAAAACGGCAAAGTTGGCAACAAAAGCATCATTGCCCACTTAACCAACAATTTCAAAAACTTCAGATTGATCAAAACTCATTTCAACCTTATCCTAGTCCAAATATTCAAATGCTTCCTGAGCAGACAAGTCAAACTATGTATGGAAATCATTTTGCTTTGGGTGCCAACATCGGAAACCAACGAATTAGTGGTCAAGGTGAAGATCTCAGTTCCATGGGTCGCCCACCAGTCATACGGAAAGTCTCGTATAAGTTAGCACAACAACAGCCAGTGATGCCCCCTTATCTGGAGGAAGGAAACAAAAATTTACCCTTTGGCATTGGCCAGCTACCAGGGAACCAGCAACTCATCAATTTTGGAGGGACACCAGTTTCTTTTCCCCAGGTTTCCTTGCAGTCGGAAACTCCTGTTGTCCAAACAACACCTGGAAGAAAAAATGCATTTATTCCACGTGGGATGGACTTGTTAATTCTGCAGCAGCAGATTGCATATCAGCAGCAGCAGCAACAGAAGTCACTGCCAAGCATGCCAGGAATGGACGAATCAGACCAGGAGAGTGAACTCTGTGATTTGGCAGCCCCATCAGAATGTCAGACAGACTGTTACCAGGAAAACAATCTATCTGCTCCAACGACCGAGATTCAGAATGGGGATTATCAGGAAAACTTTGTCAATAACCAGGCTGTTCAACCTGAAACATGTCAAACTGTGACTGAGGAGGAAATGGACTTCTCGTGACAGAGAACTTTGTTTTTTTTTTTTTGTTTTACCCTTGTGATTCAGTGTGTAGATCTGTTTTTTCTTTTTTGTTCTTATTGATGTATCAGAATTCAAAGTAAGATTAAGTAGGGTTTCAGTTCAGATTTCTGATTATGAATTCAGATTGAATAGGGTAAAATCTCAAAAATTATGAAATTTGCTATAAAATTCTTTCTAAAAATCAAGCTGTCAGAATTTGGGATGGGATGTATGAAAAGTAAAGTTATGAGTCAAATGTTGACATTAGAAATGTTGCATTTTTTTTTATCCTCAGCAAATCTGTGTGTGGGTTCTGAAAAATGAATGTTGTTTGAAGTTGTTACTATTAACAATAATCTGTTTTGTTCTCATGCACACATGTAACTAAGTGCTTATCAACTGAGAATTGATGTCTTTCAGGCAAAGGGAATTTTTGAGTTTGTACATGTATACATGTGTTTTATAGTTATGTCTTTCACTAAAAAGTGACCATGATCATTTGTTGTACATTATTTAATGAGTTTTCTCTATGCATCATAATCAATTTTTGCCATTTTACAAGAGTATTGGAGAAACCATTTGTTTACAAACCAAGAGATTTTGTGACTTGTATGTTGAGAGCTCTTGAGAGTTTTTACGATAACTTTTTAAGTTTTTCTTTGTACACTATTTGTTCAACATCTTTCACGCAAATTCTCAAGGTGGTTAAGGTGGTTACTGGTCAAAGATCACCCATGGGTTTCACAGCTTGACAGCATATTGTTTGTGGACTGTTTTTCTTTTCTTTCCTTAAATTACTATTGATCTTTAAGAGAGAATTCAAGGTCATCATTGATGTCAGTTCAAGGCCAAAACATATTTGTCCTCACTTAAAGATTTATATCAAGGAAATATGTAAATATATTTATATTGAAAAACTGTTTGGACCAAACTTCCCATTATACTGTAGCATAATTTTTTTTTCTTTTACCTTTTTTTTTATTTTCTAAATTTAATCAAAATTCTCCTGTAAAGAGAAATATTATCAATTCCTTTTTTGGGAATGGGGGAGGGGGGTCCATTACACAAATGATTTTATACTTAAAGTTAACGGCTTGAAAGAAAATATAGAATGGAATTGTACTCATAACTGATATAATCAAAGATAAACTTGCCAAAGCACAGAAAATCTTTAAAGATTATTTTTCTTTTTTAACAATGGATAATTGGATTGAGAGACTGAATGAGTGTAGTTTGTATGGTTGTGTGTGAGTGAAATATTATTAAGTGTTGTGGTGCTAAGTAGATTGTACAAACATCATTCATTGTACACTGGGCAGGACTCAAGTCCAAGTTTCCTCTGACACAAATATAAGGGATTTGTGATGTGTGAATGTAGCAAATGCCAGGTTACTCCTGGATTTATGTGCACTTAAGGCAAGTTGAGGCTTAATGAAATCAAATCAGTATAAAATGGGCATCTGATGGGGCAGTGGATGGTTTTATTGAGTAAATTTGGTTAGATGTTTTGCATGTAATACGATTACACCCACAGAAGTAGATTATCATTGAATTCTCAGAGAGAATATCAGTATTGCTTGTCACTAACATCACACACAAGACAGGAATAGAATCAGTTCCTTTAAAACAGAGCTTGAAATTGTTAAAAAATCTGCTTATTAAGCTTAAAAATTCTAACAAATCTATACAAAGTTTGTAAATAAAAGACATTGTTAACTATTTAGTTAGGAACCAGTAATAAATTGAAATCTGACTTCCCAGAAACCAGTGATTGTTTGGTAGAGATTAAACTAATTATAAACAGACATAAAGGGGTCCACAGATATTGTTCCTGACAGAAGGGAAACCACAGTTGTTTTCCCTGTACACACTGATTGCTATAACTTGATGCTCGGAATCAGGTCGGAATTTGTTGATGCATTTTAACCCGATACATGTACATTGTGCTGCCCAAAGGGCAAAAACTCTGTTAGTTATTTTTGACATGAACTTGTTATTGTATGAATGTATAGATAACTTTATCAGTCATTAAATTGTTATAAATAATTTAATACAGAGTTTTCTTTCATTGTAATATGGTTATTTAAAACATTTAAAGGGAATGAAGCATTACCTGCAATGTGTACATAATCAGTTATAAGTTGAATTGGTTCTGCTAAGATAGACAGGTGGGATTCCTGGTGGACAGATTCATGATAAAGTAGATAAAAATATCTTTATTTTTATTTCACCAGCATGTTGACCATTGCATTATATTCTTTTTTGTTGCATATGCATGTAATGTCATGAGCTGCCCTGGAGTTGACAGGGATAAACCTGGGTGGGAAGGGGCATTTTTAGGCCATTTGAGTCACTGAGCTGACATTTTCAGATTCTTCTTATAAACATCTGACCCAATTTTAAATAATTTTGATATATAGCATCTATGGGTTTAATGGAATATAAATTGTGAATTACATGGTTTCTGTCTATGTGGGACCTGAGGGATGGATCTAAAACCGTCTAAATGCAATAAAAAAGTTACTCTTGGGCACCAAGCAGTCAAACTTGGTATGGCTGTAATAAGCATTGGTTCCTCTACCAAAATTGCGAAATTTATGGACCCAGGGTCTCGGGGGTTGGGGAGGGTGGGTGTGCTCTATTGGTCATACAGTGAAAACGCTTTCTTTAAAATTCTTGTCTTCCCGATTATATTTTGCAGACTAAGTCTATGGTTATGTTGAGAAAGATGCGCCTTCCAAAATTATCAAATTCATCACTATATATTTATCAAATTCCCATTCTATAGATCCTACTGATTCTATGGATTCTGTAGAGGGTTGTGTCATATTCAGGTGATTGTCAAAGCCGTTGGGTCTCTTTTAAAAGATATTAATAATTTGGCGGACAGACAGGTTCATTTGCTGGTGGCATGAAAACTCTGTGGCCTATCTCTAAAGGCCCTTTCACAATTGGCGCACGAGCACTTTACAACACTTTGCGATCGGAATTTTTTAGCTTCGCGCGAGCTCTCGCATACGTTGCACGATGTCTCGCATTCGTTGCATGCGTTTTAGTGGTCGCATCAAATCTCCTCAAAATAGTGGACATGCACACTATTCTGACGCGACCAAATGCGATCCAAATTATCGCAATGCAACGCACGAACATTAGTCAGTTAGTACGAACGTCTTACAACGTTTTGTGTACTCGTAAGAGTGATGCACGATTTTTAAAGGTCGTAAGATAAATCGCAGCTGTCTATGCGTGTGTTTTGCGACCATGAGAATGTCGCTCATGGTGTCTCATGTAATCGTGCAACGTTTTACTATCATTGCACGATTTATCAGCTTCAATTTACCATGCAGATTTTATATATATACACCATATATATTATATATATAGATCAATACGATATCAAACCGCCAAAACACTTTGCTGTCATAACGATACAGTCAATTATTAAATATGCACATTTTAAACGAAGTAAAAAGAAAAATTGCAGCACTGTGTCGGGTTCTCTAAATTTAGAATTGCGTGGCTGATGGATGTTGCCTAAATGCACTCGATCGAGTATTCGTACGCATGATCGCAAGAGCGCCGCACGTCTAATCGCATTGGCACACGTTCAATCGTCCGATCACCTGATTACTAGCGCGATCCTATCGCATTATCTTACAACACTCGCTTTCATTTTATATCAGTCGCATATAGACGCAAGATATATCGTAAGATTTAATGCATTTGCATCGCACAAAGGTCGCTTTAGATCTTACGAATTTCGTACGAACACTTTTCATATGCGATTATTTCGGCAACAGTTTACGATCCAAATCATTTTTTTTTCGGTCGTACGAATATTTTGTCGCGTCTGCTCGTGCGCCAATTGTGAAAGGGCCTTAAACAACTGACCTGTGTAGAATTCTGGGGATCCTTGTCTAGTACGTTGCAATTTCTCCCTGTTAAATGGTAGTGGATAGTAATACAATCATTAGGTAACATTCGTACACCATGCTCTGGAAGTGCATGACAGGTGAACAAAATTGTCAGGAATGATGTGTTAGATGAAGAAGATTTTGTAGAGCACGTTTACAGAGTCTTAAGGGGAGCAGACTCGGTTCGAATCTGTCATGTATCATTTCCTTCTCCTTGTCGGTGCATACAACCTGTCATTAAGTCAAATGCTGACTGACGTTTTTCATACTGATTGTTAGGTCATTATTTATACACTGCACTGTCTACGGATATTTCCGATTTTGTTCCCAATCATGACAAGGAGCACACGGCGGGTGTGACCGGTCGGCAGGGGATGCTCACTCCTTCTTGGCACCTGATCTCACCTCTAAATTTTGAGGTCTGTGTTTGCTCTGCTCCAAATTCGTATCGTTTCGTTGGACTTTCGAAATTGAATACTGTTCGTTATCTTCATATTTCATTGCTACACGTAAAAAAATGCATAAAGCTGGACCACACAAATGAAAAATATGATAATTGCGTTTGAATTTCAGGGAAAATCTGAAAGAATGATTAAGGAATGTATTCAAACGCATGTGGTTGTTAATTTTGTTCGCGTTCGCCGCTTTCGCTTTAGTTACGACGTATGCGATACAACTCTGTCTTTTTGTTAGGGTTTTTATTACTTGTCGTGTTATCTTTCTTTAAATGCTGGAGGAATTATATTACAACTGTCTTATTCGGTTGAATACAGATATTGTGAAATTGACATTGTAGAATCCAAATTTATTGTAAATACTAAATTATGGTGAAGAATTTTAGAAACAGAGGTCCAAGCAAAAATCTGCCCATTAGCTCAGAATGGAACTTCCTTAAAAAGATTGTGATATACAAGTGATAGGAAATCAGCGGGTATTTATGTAAAGAAAAGAGGAAAAGATTGTTCATTATAAAATTATAGGCCATTTCAAAGGATGACAAAAATTAATTAAAAAAAAAAACTCCCCTCGATGTACTAGTAATTAGCAAAGCCATAAGTAAAATCATTGTTTGCTGAGAGAACCAGGAAAGATGTAGGGGCTGCATCCTAAAAACCCGTCAATATTCATAAGAAGTTGAACAACCTATGACCAAAATATTCCCAGAAATCCCTGAATGATCTCAACTTAGAGTGCTATGGTATATGAAAAGGAAAGGCCAGAATGGTTCACGATGAAAACGCGAGTCAAGGGACACTACAAAATGTTAGGAATACGCTTTCTATCCGTAAAATACTAAGGTTACAAAATGTCAGGAATTCTTTGTCTATCGGTAAAAGACTAGGTTTGTGAGAAAATAACAAAATATCAGGAATACTCTGTATATCGGTAAAAGACTAGGATAGTAAGAGGATAACTACAAAATGTCAGGAATTCTATGCCTACTGGCAAAGACTAGGGTAGCAAGAAGATAGTATTACAAAATATCAGGATTTTTTGGTCCATCGATAAAGGCTAGGGTAGAAAGAGGATAAAATACAAAATATCAGAAATACTCAGCTGTCTATCGGTGAATGATTTATTTAGGTAGTAAGAAGATAGCTACAAAATGTTAGGAATTCTCGGTCTATCGGTAAAGACTAAGAAAAATAACAACAAAATGTTAGTAATACTTCGTCTATTGGTAAAGACTAGGTCGTAAGAGGATAACTACAAAATGTCAGGATTTTTCTGTCAATCGGTAAAGACTGGGGTAGGAAGAGGATAACTATAAAATATTAGGAATACTTTGTGAATCGGTAAAAGCTACATTAAGGTAGTAAGAGGATAGTTATAAAATGTCAGGAATTCTCAGTCTATCGGTAAAGACTAGGGTAATAAGATGATTTAACTACAAAATGTCAAAAATACTTTGTCTATTGGTAAAGACTAGAGTAGTTAGAAAATTAAAACAACGCTAGGACTTCTTTGTCTATTGGTAAAGACTAGGGTAGAAAGAAGATATAACTACAAAACGTGAGGAATTTTTTGTTTATCGGTAAAGACTGATTTAGTAAGATAATAGCTATAAAATGTCAGGAATTCTCTATCAATCGTTTAAGACTAGGGTAGTATGAAGATATCTACAAAATGTCAGGAATTATCTATCGGTAAAGACGAGGGTTATAAAACGATATAATGTCAGGAATACTTTGTCTGTCGGTAAAGACTAGGGTTATATAAAAATATAGCTATTAAATAATAGGAATAGTTTGATTATCCGTATAAGATTATTTTAAGTAGTAAGGGCAAAACTACAAAAAGCCAGAAATACTCGGTCTATCCGAAAAGTCTAAGAAAATAACTACTATGGGAGTAAAAGGATAAATACAAAATGTCAGGAATTCTCTCTCTATCGGCAAAGACTAGGGTAGTGAGAGAAAAGAACTACAAAATATCAGGATTTTTGGTTCATCGTTAAAGACTAACGTAGAAAGAGGATAACTACAAATTATCAGAAATACTCAGCTGTCTATCGGTGAATGATTTATTTAGGTAGTAAGAAAATAGCTACAAAATGTTAGGAATTCTCGGTCTATCGGTAAAGACTAAGAAAATAACTACAAAATGTTAGGAAAACTTAATTGGTAAAGACTAGGTTGTAAGAGGATAACTACAAATGTGAGGATTTCTATGCCTATTGGTAAAATTTAAGCTATATTAAGGTAGTAATAGGATTGCTAAAAAAATGTCAGGAATTCTCGGTCTATCAGTAAAGACTAAGAAGATAACTACAAAATGTTAGGAATACTTCTTCTATTAGTAAAGACTACGTTGTAAGAGAATAATTACAAAATGTCAGGATTTTTCTGTACATTGGTAAAGAATGAGGTAGGAAGAGGATACCTATAAAATATCAGGAATACTCTATCGGTAAAAGCTACATTAAGGAAGTAAGAGGATAGCTACAAAATGTCAGGAATTTTCTGTTCATTGGTTAAGATTGGGATAGGAAGATGATAACTAAAAAATATCAAGAATACTCTGTCTATCGGTAAAAGATCAATTATCCCCTCGCAACGGAATATGAGTGAAAAATTCTTGACGGGACTTTAAACAACAAACACACAAACAAAACAGTATGACAGGAATTCTCTGTA